CAGGCGATAGCGGGAGAAGACAGACTAATGTCCAAATTGTCCTATCCAGGCACTCCTGCTTCTGCATGCTAATGAAAGAAGGAAAGGGGATTTCTGGTTTTCTGCCTTCCCAGTTCAGACTGGAATGGCCACAGGGTGCAAAGGGAGGTGACTAAGAGAAGGGTCAGTGGTGTTTACATTCATCCTCAGGAGTGTGAGCAAAGAAGGCGAAGTGCCTCTGCCTAGAACTTGGAAGCAGGCTGCAAAAAGAAGTAAGTGTGAGAGGAAGAGGAATACTTAATAGAGCAGGCTTAGCAGATAGGAAACTGCCTCCACATTCCAGAAATCACCAAGCCCCAAAGAAAATGCTGATGCCCGGTTCCAGCACCTCTGCTACTTTCAGCTCCTGCCATTACCCCGGAGGTATACCTTGCCCTAGCAGGGGCTGCCTTAAAGTACTGCTGCTGTTACAGCAATTTGTGTTTCGTTGGGGTTTTGGTTTGGGGGATTTTGGGGGGCCTTTTTAATGAATATTTTGCAAACCAGAACACATTTCTACAGGCTTCACTGAGCCACGTAGACACGAGGACTTGTGAAAACACTCTGAAGAAGTTTGTCATGTTTAAGAATAAAATATTCAAACAGGATTTTTTTTTTCTGTTTTAATAGCAACTGTCCTGCTTTCAGATGTGGGTTTTGTCCTTCCTCCCGCCTCCCCCCCGCCTTTCCTTTTGGCACCCTTCTACCTAAAATGCTCTAATAAGTGGTGATGGAGTCTCTAGCAAACCAAAAAAAAAAAAGCAGCATTTAAAAAGTCTGGTCCAGCATGAAGTCACCACTTTTTCTCTTCTCTGAGCCCTGCTGAGTCTAGTCATAACTCGATTTCTGGTGACTAATAGAAGTGCTGGGACACTATTGTTTCTTTTGGCTTCTTGAGCAACTCTCTCCCGTTACCTCCCCTCAACTGGGGAGACCTAAAGCTATAGATGTGTTTGAGCTGAGGAAGAGGCTGAAGCGCTAATTGTTCTTTTGTGTCATGCCTTGGCTTGTGCTTGGTTGTGTTGGGTGGGTTTTTTTAACTGGATTTCATTTCAGAGCATGTTTTTGTCTTCAAAAACTGAAGATGGTAGAGCAGTTTCAGCCTATGTAGCAAACGGGGTAAGTCCCAAACTGACATCCTCCATCTCCAAGCAGAGGTGGCTCAGCCATGGTCACCTGGAGGGACATGAGAGCAGTCGTGTCTCAGCACTGTGCTGTAGCCGCTGATCTAACCACAGAGGGTCCACCCTGACTGAAGCATTCTTGGCTCCATTTGCTTTTCCCTATCCATAGCGAGTGATCTCACTTGCCAAGTATTGCAGTCATTGGGAGATAACTATTTCTTGGGGGCACCCAGCTTTGGCTACAGCCTCGCTATTCACAGGAGGCGTGCAGTTTGTAAAATAACTGCATGAAAAATTGCCTGCTATTTCTTTTTCAGTATGTTCTCCTTTCTAGCCTCAACATGTTGGACTAGCAAGAGCCTTCGGGGCACTTCACTTAACCAGTCTTTGTGGTTTATTTCCTTTAAAATGGATTAAGAAGGACATGCTTCTCTGACAAGGATGAACTGGGACAACTGTGTATAGTGAGAACATTAAGCAAATCGTTAACAGAATTGCTTTAGAATACAGCCTGAACAGCAAGTCTTAGGGGCAAGCTTAAATAACACAGTGACTTAGGAAAGCTCAATGGACGGAGTTTGCATTCCTTGTCCCCCACTGGCAGGATCTCTCATTTGCTCCTGACTATGGCTGCGGGCAGGAGGAGGCAGAGGGAGAATCCCTTCTCTCTCTAAAGGCCCCATGCATCGCTGTCAAGTTTCTTCTCTGGCATGTTCCTGGGATGAGGGAGAGGAGCTGAAGGGTTCTTTCCATGGAAGGTGTTAACAGGCTTTTTCTTATGCTCATGGTGCACCAAAGCGCGAGCTCAGTGTAGCCGAGTTGGAGACGATGTTGGAGAGCAGAGAATACCTGCCTGCAGGTGGCCTTGGTACCAAGAGACATTCATCTCTGGGATGAGCGGGCAGATCACCGGTCCCGTAGCAGCCATGGAGAGTCCTTGTGCTTGAAACCCTTTGGCTTCTTTAGCAATAAGTTCTCATTAATGAAGTATTACAGTGCAGGTTACATAGGGTGTAGTGTTGATTCTTCTGTATGATGCTTCTCCAGATGGTGCCCCACCATCTTTGGTGCCTTTTCCTCTTAACTGGAGCCCAACAGGCCTGGAACCAGCTTGGCTCCTCGGGGGAGCGTGAGGAGGACAGTTATAGCAGGTTCTAACAAACTCCAGCAAGAACAGGGCCTTGCTCTCCAGTCTTTCCATCCGATGCATTTGAATTTTGATGTGTCTCAGCTCCTAGTCTGGCAGGGAAGGAAGCAATTCACCTATAGACAAACATCTGTGTATTTCAGATGGTGCACACAAAACGAGTCACCACTGGCTTCCCGTGTGCCAGCCTTCCTCTCCAGTGCCTCTGCTCTTACCTACGTGCCTTGGCTCTGCTGCCCAGCTTTCGGCTGGATTCCAGCTGCAGAAATGTGGTGAGCAGCTAATCGGTGTTTAACAGATCTGAAACCTTCTCTCCCAAGCTCCTCTCTACGGAGACAATTCCTAGGGAGGCTCTTGTGTTCAGGGCCCCTTTTGAAAAGATGATTCCCTTCAGTAAAGGCTTTAGGTCATGGCTCCCTAGCCAAAACTGGCCCTGCTTCCCTCCAGCGCCATTCTCATGCAGGTAAGCAGCTGTGGTCTCCCTGCCACCCATTGTCCCCATCGGGAGACTTGGCACTGTCCTTCCACTGAATGAGCGACATTGGGTGCTTAGAAAAGAGCACCCAAGCTGTGCTGGGAGGGAGATGAGCACGGTGCATCTGCTGATCCAGTTTCTTCCCCTCTTTCCAGTAGTTGGTGGAGTGCAGGGAGTCCTTCCCTCTTGCTGCAGGCTGGTGGCACTGGCCCCAGGGTGTCCTGGTGCAGGGTTTGGGGGACAGCGGAAGGGACAATGGTAGCTGCCCCCAGTCACAAGCCTGAGCCCCCCCCAACCCCATGTTCATCACATCTTGGACTCCCCGACAAAAGCGTAATGGGAGAGGAGTTGCGGGCAGAGAGACACAACTCTTCTCTTACCTGTTAGAGCTGCACGGTGGTGCACTGATGCTGTTTTGTGCTTCGACATCTTTATTCAAGACACTATCTGTATATAAAATATACATAATGTATATAAATTAGGATGTAAGTTTATGTAAATTGTCAATATTTTCTTTGCAAATAAAGCTTTTTCCTGATCTCTGTGTACTCACTGGCACATCCTTCCCCAGCCAAACCAGGAGTTTCTCTGGAAAGGCTGTACAACTACAGCAAGTGTGTTGACTGCGCTTGTGCAGTGGGGCACAGCTGAAAGGCAAAGCATCTCCATCCTTTGGGGAGTATTTGATATGCAGCTGTTGTGGCCATCACTGCTGATGTGAGAGGCAGTGGTTCCCTGCTGCCTGCTCAGCGTTTGCCTTCCCGGCTCCCTGCTGCTCTACGGAGTCAGGGGAAAACAGCATTGCTGTCACGACTTACTGGGAAAGAAGTATAGATGATGTACCTAAATAACCTGATACCCTTCTGCCTTTATAATGCCCAGGCTGTCACCCCACAGTGCAGCTGGTGATGTTTGGCAAATGTCTTTATCCCTTCTTCTACCAAGCCTATGTCCTGCTGCTCCTTCGTCTGTCCTTTGCTGACCTCTGATGCAAAAGCCTGGTGGGGGAGCAGGAGCATCAATCTCTAACAGACCACTCTGGAGACCTAGGAGCCAGCCTGGAAGCCAGGACAGGCAAGAAGCACGGGATGCCCTGTGATTTGCAGGACCAAATCCCTCCCATTCGTTCTGTGTGGTTGGCTCTGCCTTCAGCATGGTCCATGAAAAGCCTCTTGGCATTTGCAGGGCTCCTTAGACGGCTCTAGGTCCGTAGCTGGCTCACTCTGCCAGGTGCTCCTGCAAAGGGAGTTCACAGCCTTGGGATGCCAATGCCCGGGGATTCTCCTCAGAAGTCCCTGTTCAAAAGCAGGGACTTTTCAGCTCATTTTAAGCCTGTGCCCACAGTGCAGAGCCATGCCCAGCAGTTCAGGATGCAGGGAGGAGGGGGCCAGGGTTCTCCAGGCACTGGGGGCTGCACCAGTTGCATGGTGTGGTTCCTCCCCTGCATCACCTTCTGCTTTTGGGGCTCCGGGCTTGGCTGCTGTTAGGAGATGAGGGATGCTGGAGGCAAAGGTTCATCCAGAGGTCAGTGATTCCCTATCCAGAGCCTGCACATTCCACATCTGCACAGATGTGCTGTCCTCACCGTGCCTGCAGACACAGCAGGGGGCTGTTTGCTCAGAGCTGCCCCTGGCCCTGGCTGCTGTCAGAGCCCAGGCCCACCACAGCACCACCCTAAACCACCAGCCCTGGCCTCTGGGCTGAGCTCGGCCGCTGTCACTGCCGTGTGTGCTCTGGCTGGCTGGTGACGTTGGCCTCGCTCAAGGCTGAACCACATCCTGGAGGTGACAAAGTGCTCCCCACCACATCAGCTGTGATGAGGGCGAGGGGCAACAGCAGCAGAAGCCAGGCTGCTTCATTCTCCAGGTGTATACGTACATGTAAGCGTGTATGTATATGTTTTACATATATATAATTATTTTTTTCCCTGCCAGATACATCTAGGACTAAAGCAACAGCTCTACAGCTGAAACTACAGCAAAACACATCCTTGGGCAACCATGCAGCAGCCTGGGTATGCTCCTTCAGGTGGGAAGGAAATTGGCCGCAGTGAGCCAAAATCCCCCATGAACCATGCACAGAGCATGTCCTCAGGGAGCGTGTCAGCACCAGGTGGCACTGGGACATGGAGATGTCGCCACAGAAAAATCCCTGTGCAATCCCTCCGGGAGCCCAGATACCACCTGAAGCTGCCGCGGAGAAAGTCCCCATCTGGTTCGTGGCCTGGGTGAGATGCCCCAGCAGCCATCCTGTGTGCCTGGAGGAACATGGGGGTGTGGCAGTGAGAAGCCCAGCTCTTGCAGCAGAGCGGACTCCTGGGGAGGAAGAGGAGGAGGAAGGGAGGTGCCAGGATTGTACATCCTGCTGGGAACGGGTGGTAAACCCCAGGATGCTGCAGGAGAGTCCCCTCGGCAGCCCAGGGAGAGGAACCTGCTCTGCCTCCCTGCGATGAGCTCACCTGCAGCCCAAGGTGCTGGGATTCCCATGATGATCCCCGGTGGCTGCAGCCTGGAGCTTGGTTCCCAGCTTGGGGTGGTTGGGAAGGTCTCACCAGCTGCCCTGGGATAGCAGGTACAGAGCACAGCTTGCCCCTGGCATAGGGCAGAGGAAGCTGGAGGAAGAACCAGGTCCATGCAGCAGAACTCCCCCAAACGCTCTCGGCTGTTCCAAGTACCACCTCAGCCTCCTGGCATTTGATATCGGTGGCTGGACCAGCCAACAACCTGAGCACCAGAGCAGCCCTGCCTCCTCCTGTCCCGATGTTTCTCTTTCCCTTCCTTGTGGCTTTCTGCACTGTTTTTCCCCCTCTGCAATCTTATGTCTTTCTTTTCCCACTTCCGTAGCTACAGACACCCACATGCATTATCTCCTTCCCCCGTCCCATCCTGAAACCTATTTATACAGAGCCTGGCTCCTGCCCAGCCCGCCAGAGAGCACTGGAGGAGTGGGACAGGGCTGGCAGTGCCCGCAGCCCAACATGCTCTTGTTTGAACACCGGCTGGCTGAAAGAGGATGCTTGCTGCTCTGGTTGCTCCCATCCGTTCTCAGAGCCCAGTCTAGCGGGGAGGTGAGGCTCAGACCCACACTGTGCCAGCAGGTAAGGCTGCTTTCCAAGGAGCCCCTGGGCTGGATCCAAGCGGGTCTGGAAGCATCCCTCTGTGCAGCGCAGGGTGCATCTCCTCTCTATGGCTCTCACCTCCCTCCAGCCTCCATCTCGAACCTTCCTGCCTTTGATTTCTTCTCTGCTCACCTGTCTCTGAGCTGGTTCCTGGCCCCCAGCTGTTCCCATGTCCCTGCCATGCTGGTGTCACCTTCCAGCAGTCCCTGCCATGGGGGTGTCAGTTCCTCCCCTGCCCAGACAGGACAGGGATGCTCTGGACTAGCCCCTGGGCTGCCCCAGTGCCCTCCAGAGGCTGGCTTTGCCCCACCAACGTGATGCATCTTGAGTGCTTATGCTATTTTTTTGCCCATCTTGCTTGCTGGGATACATGAGAGGACAGCCTGCGGGGCCGAGGCTTATGTTCCTTCTTGCACTCAGAAACAACTCAGCAGTGAAAGCACACCTTAGCCCTGGGGACAAGCTTCTTGTCTCTAAGCAGCAGCTTTAGGTGGTCTGTTCCCTTTCCATCCTGGGCTTGGGAACGGGAGCCGTGCTCATGTCCATGTTGCTCATGCCCATCTTGGACAGCAGCTGGCTTGGCTGGGGTTGTGGTTTGCAGACCCTCTCACACTGACGGCTTCTCCTGTCTCTCTGTAGAGCCCCACAAAGGTGTCTTGCAAAGGAGTTGGCCTGCACAAGCTTCCAAAGGAGCTTGGCCAAGGGGTGAAGTACCTCGAGCTCTCCAACAACTTCATCCAAAACCTGTCAGGCAGCTCCATGCCGGGGTTTGAGCAGCTCGAGTACCTGGACCTGTGCTTCAACCAGCTGGAAGCCGTGTCAGCCACAGCCCTGGCTCAGCTGCCCCAGCTGCGCTCTCTGCTCCTGGGATCAAACCACCTCGACCGCAATTACCTCGCCAATGGACAAGCCTTTCGTCTGCTCAGGAGTATCGAGGTCCTGGACCTGTCGGCAAACAACCTGGACGGCCACATGGCAGGCTGGTACATCCGCAACCTCACCAGGCTGAGGGTGCTGGACCTCTCCAGGAACAAGATGACCAGGCTGCTGGCGGGGATCTTCTGGAGCACGCCACGGCTGCGTGAGCTCCACCTCAGCAATAACTACATCATGGAAATAGAGGAGGGAGTCTTTGAGGCTCTGGAAGAGCTGGAGGTGGTGAACTTGGCTTTGAATTCCCTCCACTGTATCTCTGGCTTCAGCCTCACGCAGCTGCGAGTTTTAAATCTCAGCCACAATGCTCTGGAGCTGTTTGCCTCGGAGGAGGGAGCGGAGCCCTACCTGCTTCAAGTGCTCGACTTGAGCCATAACAGACTGCTCTACTTTCCAGAGCTCCCCAAAGTCCATTATCTCACACACTTAAACCTCTCCAACAACCTTATTGCTTCCCTGCTCCCAGGCTCACGCCACCCGGGGGAGTTTGTACTGCACTACAAGGAGATGGCGAGGTTTAACAGGACCTTGCACACTGTGTCTGCTCTGACCCACGTGGCTGACTTGGATCTCAGCAATAACCAGCTGCAGCTCTTCCCATTTGCCTTCTTCCACAGCCTGGGCTCTCTGCATCGCCTCAGCCTGGCTATGAACTGCCTCCAGGATGTGGCCAGGGAGTCACTCACCAGCAACATGGAGCCCAGCGACCACTCACCAGCACCACTGGAGCACACTGCCCTGTCCGTGCGCTCGCTGGACCTCCATGGCAATGCCTTCTGCATGCTGCCACCCTGGTTCTTTGGTTCTCTGCCTCAGCTGGAAACGATCAACCTGGGCTCCAACAGCCTCCAGCCTTGTGAGAGCCAGGGGGGGAGTTCAGGAGGCACCTGCACCCCCTTCTACAACCTGCCCCGCTTGAAGCATCTGAGTCTTTACAAGAACAACATCACCAGGCTGCAGCCCCATGCCTTCAACCAGACCTCACTACTCTCCCTAGACCTGTCGGGGAACAAGGACTTGTTCATGCCTAAGGAAGCCCTGGCGGGGTTGGAGCTCTCCCTGCAGAAACTCTCTCTCAGGGACAACCAGATGGACGATGGCAAGGCAGAGCTCCCCTGCCTGGGCAAGCTCAAAGTCTTGGACCTCTCAGGCAACAACCTGAGCCTTTTGCCCGCAGGTCTTTCCTGCTCCCCTCTGGAAAGCCTGGACGTTCGCAATAACCGGCTGCTGACATTGGAAAAGCTGGCGCTCATGAGCTGGTCCCGCAGCCTGAAGGACATGTTCGTCGCTGGAAACCCCTTCAGCTGCTGCTCGCTGGCCTGGCTGGACACACTGTGGGCTGCTGGTGTGGGTGTGCTGGACCAGGATGAAGCCCTCTGCACCTACCAGGACGAGAGCAGGAACTTCTCAGCCAAGATAGCCAGCAGCCCTCGGTGGCTTTGTCCGCACCCCAAGGACATGGGCTTGCTGGCTCTGCTCGTGGTCGTGATGAGCCTTTTCTTTCTCAGCTGCGGGGCTTGCTGCCTTCTGAAGAAAGGGCAGAAGTCGCCAGGGTTTGTAGGACTCCAGAGCAACAGCGTGGGGGTCTTCCCCCACCATCCCAAAAGAGAGGAGCCAGGCGAGGCAAAGCCAGCAGACAGTGTCACCAAAGTGTAGCCCAGCCCTGGGGAGCAGGAACTGTTGCAGTCGGTCAGAACTCTAATTGTTATTGATAATATTAATAACATTATTGTATTTTAGGTCTCCTTCCCTCACCGGTTTTGCAAACCAAATAAAGGGAGTGTGATTGGTGCTGAGCAGAGGTAGTTTCTGGACCACCTGTCCTTGGGAAGGAAGGTACCCCCATCTGCTCTGTTCCCTGCAGGAAATAAAACACACTACAAGCAATTGTGGGTGAGTTTTCTGCCCTGCCATCCTACACTCTCATCACCCAGGACAAGAAACCAGAGCGTGAGCTGGTTGGTTTCATCTGCCCGCACTGAACCCAGCACACTGTTTGTGGAAACGGAATTGTCTCCATTGGTACCACCTGAGTCTTTTACAGCTCTCCCAGCAGTCACTGTTTGCTTCTTAAGTAGGTTGAAATAGCTTGGCTAAATACTTGCTCCTGCTCCCAAAAGCATTCCTCAGCCCAGCTGTGAAGAATGGGCAGTGGTAGGGAATGGTGTAGTGGTGGGTCCACATGCCGGTGTGTGAAGAGGGTTTCTGCAGGATCCTACACATCTCTCTTGTGCCTTTGGCTGTCACCTGAACAGTGCTGTGGCATTGGCAGGGCTTAAAATGACCCCGGGCACTGCTGCGGGTGCCAGAAGGAAATCTGCCCTGTCCTCACCCATTGAGATAGTGAGAAGGACACAAAACCAGTCTTGAGGTTGATGCTGGAGCACTGGCTCTTCAAGGGGGGTCCGGGATGTGCTGGGGTAAGTGCTGGCAGAGCCACAGTCCTTGGTGCATCTGGCACCCTCTGAGCATCTCATCCACATATTGACAGTATTTAATACTGGGGGGGGTAGGACCCCAGCTAGGGAGGGCAGCAGGAGAAGGTGCTAAGCGGGATGGTGAGCTGTACCAGTGATGTGGGATGGCTGTTGTCATGGTGGTATTCCCAGTCCACACACAGTGTGAATATCCAGCATCCCAGAGCAGAGTGGTGCTGCACCCCTCATGACAGCAGCACCTCAGTGGCTGGGGCCACCTCTGTGGAGGGATAAAAATAAGGCTGCAGTGAAACCTTTTATGTTTCACATCTCTTTTGTTCTGCCTTGAAAGTCCCCAGCTGGCCAAGGCCACCTACTTCTCCATATACCTGTCAGGTGAGAGGCTGTGAGTGCAAAAGGGCTTGGAAGTCACTTAAAATCCCAATTACTTGTTTTTTGGTTGTTTTGGTTTTTTTTTCTTTCAAGCTTATCATAGTTTTACTATGAAGCAAAGGACATTTTTGCTGTAAAACTTATGCCTTCCTCATGCTGCCCATATTGCTGCTGGGGCTGCAGCTTCCTGGCCTTTGATGGGCATTCAGCTCCCAATGGACTCCCAGTGCTTTTGATGGCACCATATTTCTATCACTACCTCATTTCCCCTTTGATCTGGTGCCTCATCGTGGCAAGTGCCCGGAGCATCCCAGGGGAGCCTGGTACTGCATGTTGCCACCCTGAAGGGACGCAGGCTTTCCTGCGTGCCCACCAAGTGAGTTCAGTGCAGCTTCGGCCAGTCCCTAAATCTGTGCCAGCCCCCTTCCCCAGCCCAGGCGCTTGGGGACATTACAGGGACACTCTCTGGGGCTGCCTGGCCAGAGCCCAAAATGCTGTTTGCCTTCGGTGGGTGTTTCTGGTACATTTTGTGTGGTCTGTTCCTCATTTAAACCCCCTGGCAGGCTGTACTTTCCATGCATGTCACCATACGATGTCCTGCCCTTTGTGCTGCTGCTTCACCGGCTTCCACCAGCATCCTCCTTGCGTTAAGGCTTGCGGAGAGTTGGAGCCTTGCAGTCAAACAGAGATGGGTGTTCGGGGACACACTGGGTGCTCAGTCAGTGCCAGGCACTGCCCTGGGCTTCCCCATCGCTCCAGAGCCGTGTTAATCCAGCGCTGTTGACACAAGGCTGTGCTGCATTCCCTGCCGACCAGCAGCAGCTGATGGTTGATCCATGAAGGGACAGTGAGCTGGTGGTGCCTAAAGTTTTCTCCAGGTTTTAGAGCATCTGCTAAAGCACATACTAAAAATAGGAGAAAGTATCCTGGTACTGGTTTTATCCTGCAGGGAAGGCTCCTAGTGGTACATGAAGTTTAGGGGAAGAGAGGTGGAAGAGAGATGCTGGCCTTGCTAAGGGACAGGGAGGCTGCCAGAGTGCAAGGGAAGGGGAGGTAAGCTTCTTTTGACAAGAAAACCTGGACAACCCCCAAGGCCAAAGAAGGGTTGCAAAGGTACAGGAACTGAGCCAAGGAAATGGCATGTTGGGTTGTTATCTTTATCGATGTCCATGTGCTTTCCCAAGTCACAGAAAAACACGATTCCAGTTCGTGATCTCACAGGTACTACAAGAAGTGAATCTGTGTCAGCTCCAAGGGCAATGTCCCCTTCTTCCAGTGACAGGAAAAGCAGCATGCTTCCAGCTTGGCCAGGAGCAGGGCACAGGGTGAGCACCCAGGGCTTGTGCTGGCAGAGGGGACAACGGGATGTGACCAGGCTGGCCTAGACCCTGCCCCTGCATTTACATCAGCAGAAACCATCACAAGTTAGCCACGAGGTCAAGGGAGACCCGGCTGTGGTCCTGGCTGGTGGTACAGGGGGTATGTCTTGCATTCAGCACTGCTCCTCAGGCTGAGCTTCCCATGGTTTACAGGAAATGGTTTCCTTATCCTGGGGATGTCTTGGCATCTTGGGCTTTTTCTTGATCTAAAATGAGGGCAAAAGATCTGTGGAATATTGAAGTTCAAACAAATAAAGAGATGATGCCAAAAATGATGCATTGTCATGTACAGCTGTAAGGCAGTGGGGCTATAAATTCTGGTCTGAAAAAAAACATCAGTGGTGGTTAAAATATTGTGACCGTTTACAAATTTTCTAGTGAACGCTAGTTGAGAAATCCAGCCAAACTCATTCTTTCCAGTGGAAAGCCTCCACATTTCACTGGATCTGCATTTTCACAGAAAAAAACAGATTTTATCAAAAATTTCCAACCAGCTGCTCTGCTAACTCATGTGGAAATTACCTTGTCTGCAACTAACTTCACTTCAAGGGCACTTTTTTTTCCTTTTCCCCTTTCTTTCCATGGAGATGAGGGCTCGAGCTTCATCTGCTTCAAGAGTTGAAGAATTACCTGGTTCCTAGGTGGTAGGTATCACTCCTCAAGCAAGGAGAGCACTTCTCACTCTGTGTTTAGAAGGAGCACAGGGTAGCCTAAAACCACTCAACTCTCTTATAAGATAATGCCAGATAATGTGTTTGTGTTGTTGCAGGGCATGAAACCACTGTAGCAGAGAATGCTGTTTCCCTCCTTCTGCCCAGCAGCTCCTGCCCTTGGTTTCACCACCCAACGAGCTCAGGTAAGTCCAATTCCATGCACAGACACAGCAGAACAGCTCCTCAAAGTATTGTTTCATTTATTTTTTGCTGATATTGCTGCAATACATGTTCCCAAATGTGGCTGATCTCATAAACCACTGTCCTTTTAACCACAGCTTGGCTCCCCACACCAGGGTGCCTTTTACGTGCTCCTGGCTAATGCAGCAGTTGCTCTGCAGCTTTGAGATGGGACAGGAGGCTGGTGGCAGTGGCTTGTCCCAGTATGTCACCTCTGGGACATACCCCCTGCGTCCTTCCTATTTGTAGGGCTGAGCCACCACTGCTTTCCATTATCACTCACTGCCACAGCCTCTGCTACGTGACTCAACAAAACTCCCCTGGCAGCTATTTCTAGCCCAGTCAGTGAGGTTGGGCATGTTATTCATGACACTTTCTTCCTCTCTGGTGGGGCTCTGGCCAGGCTGGGACCTGCCATCAGCCCTCCAGCACCACAGGCCTTCAGCCAAAGGAGACTGGCAGGGGCCAGATGGGGAAGGCAGCTCCCAGCATCTCCCGTGCCATACAAAGTCCTGTATTGCCTTCTGCAGCACCGCTTGCCTGGGCTGTCCCAGGCTGCTGGGGGGGGGTGCAGATGTGGACACATGTTCTGCAGCTGGGTCTCCCAGCCCTGCTGCCCGGGGACGCTGGAGGCAGGGTGTGCTGTCTGCCATTGGACACTGTCAGGGCTGCCAGCAGCACATGAAGCATCACCATCTGTCTCTTACAGCTTGAACCCACAAGCAGACCCATGGTCCCTGGTCCCAGCTGTGGGGCACTGGATGGCCACGGTGAAGCTGGAAGGCAGCATCATGTGTAAGTGGTTCTGGAGAAGATCAGCTGGCAGGAGCAAGTCCTTGCAGGTCCTCACCACCCCCAGGCTGCTTCTCAGTATCCATCCTGTGGTGAGGTCACTGAGTCCACCACTACATCAGAAAGAGGAAAGAGGATGGTTTCACTAAAGGAAAGCAATGTTTTGCTGCAGGGCAAAGGTACCAGGGGTGACCCACACCAGCATCCCCCACCTCCAGAGGGGATGGGATGCTCCCAGCTGCCTGCAGCAGGGATCTCATCCACAACCTCTGGGATGTGGCAGGAGCCATCCAAGGAGCACACCCTGCCTCCTCGGAGGGACGTCATCCGTGCCACATGACAGCGTGCCACCACCACCTGCGTCACCACGACCCGGCGCTGCCTCGGCTTCCCAGGCAAAAGGATGTGGCTCCTCATGAGGTAGGTGAGCGTGGGGTGGGGGAGCACTGAGGTCACCAGGGGCTTGAGGGGACACAGGGCACTCTAATGGCAGGGGAACCCCTGGAAGGACCTTATATAAAAGAAAGCCACAAGCTGTTGCAAACTGGGATGGTACGTGCGGAAGGATCCCTGTGTGCTTACGTGGGTAACAAACCATTTATGGGGGGTTTCTTTGGCCCCTGTCCAAGACCCCGTAACGGGGCATATGAAATTTTGGCCATGCAGGACAACTATTTGGCCATCCAGGACAACTGTTCCTTCAATAATCAGCTTAGTCATAGTAGCAAGCTCTATGTGCAGGGGCAGTAGGTCTCCTTGCACTGCTGTGAGCTCCCCCTTGAGCTTTCCCCTCTTGGCTGTGTCCCCAGGGCAGCCAGCACCAGTCAGGCAGTTCGGGGGGGGGAAGTTTTCCAGCATTCCTCCCTGCTCCTCGCCTACTCCCCTGCTTTGCCCTCTGCTCAGCACCTGCAGATGAAGCTCCACCACCACGGCTGCACTTTCTCCCCATGGTGGCTTGGGCAAGCTGGAGAAGGGAAGCCTTTACCTAGGCTGGGAACCCCCTCCTGCCCTCCTCCTTCCCCAACAGAGGGAAGGGGAAGGGGTATTTTTAGCACTTACCCTACAGTTGTTTCAAGGATTGAGCTAAGAAGAGGAACTGACATCAAATGAAGCATTACTTTTGCTTTAAAAGGAAGCCCTTTTTTTTTTTCCTACTATTCAGTCATTGCAAAACTTTTCTGTGAAGGAGGATTGGTAAAAATCACCTTTCATAGGAGGCAGCTTGAGGATGTCAGAAGTCACTGGACACTGTTCCCTATGCTGGCACTGGCTTCTTGTGCCCTTGCCCAGCTCCCACAATGACCTCACGTTCCAAAGGAAGGGGATGGTCCTGAGCCCCTTTGCCCCAGCGCTGATCATGGCTCCAGCACCTGTAAAGCTATGAAATGCCTCCAGACTGTCCTTGTGTGCCTTGTCTCCACATTCCTGCTCTCCAGCAGCTTTTCCTGTTACTCACACCTTCTCCCAAACCCCCTCGGAATCCAGATGCTCTTGCATTTCTAGCTGCCTTCCAACCCCACTATGTACTGGCTATGGCAACCCATTTGATATCCTCCAGGTCCCAGAGTAAGATGCCATCCACACCTGGAGGAATGCTTAATAGGCGAAAAAAAGTGCCTTGCTACAACGTAATAGGCGAAAAAAAGTGCCGTTGCCCCGGCAACACCAGCCGGAGCATGGTGAAATCAGGTTCTTCAGGGACCAGGGTGGAAGATGGTGGCCCTTAACAGCAAAACCACTGGCCAGAAGGTGGCAATATCCCCTCTCCTTTCTAGCCCTGACACCGCAGACCAGTGAAGGGGTCAGCCCCTTGTGTAGGGGACAGGTCCGTTTTGGTTTGGAAGCTTTAAGCCTACTCAGACCCGCTTTTGAATAGCTTGGGCAATGGCAGGACAATGCTCCATGTCCTCTCTAGCTGTCACACCCCTGATGTCCATCTCCCGATGCTTAGGCAGCACTAAACAGACCAGGTGCTGATGCTGTGAATGCCACAGCACATACAGCCAGCAGGGAGGGAGGGTGTTCCATATCGGGATGCAAAGTCCTGTCCTGGGCACGAACAGCCCCAGGAACCAGTATCTGCTGGGGCCACCCCGCTGGAAAGCATCTTTGCCTATACAGCAACCTTAGACCTTCCTCCCCTCAGCCTGCGCACGGGTGGGTTTGCACTTTGCCCACCTTTTAGCATTTCCCAGGAGAGATCAGGGGCCTGCTGACCCTCTTGTCTGAAATCCTCTGTTGCATGGTTTAGTTGTGCTGATGGTCACTTCTTGGGCCATGTGGGGCTGCTTCATGCAGCTGCTGAGATAACGTTAGAAATCCCCCCAGAAGGATTAGCATCTCCTGCATTCTCACTGAGCCCTCCTCATCCCTCAGCAGACATGTGGCAGTGGGACACTCTGGAGCAACAACCAGCAAAGCAGCCCTTCCTAGCAGGGTGGATGCAGGATACCTGCTGCAGAGGATTCCAGGGCAAAAATGACTACCTGTGAGGGACTGGGAGTTCCTGTGTCCCTCCTACTGGAGTCTGAAGAAGGAATGTCTATTTAGACATGCCCAGCACATGCTTACCTTTGCTTTGTGAGCCACTGCCCTCCCTCTGCCTGCTGAGCACATGATGCCCAAGAAAGCACCCAGGCACCTCCCAACACTGACAAAATCAGTTTTTCCTGGTCAGAAAATTCCTAATCCCCCAGAAGCTGTTCAGATTTCCCCGCAATGTCCCCCTCAGGGCCTGAAGCATTTCCCTATTCCCCAAGGGTGAAAAAGGAACTTACAGAGAATATGATTTCATAACAGCCAAGTCCTTGGGGTTAGAGTGAAAGGAGCACTTGGGCTTAGTGAGAGGAGAAGTATGGGCACCGTATCTGTTTTCATGTCAAGGTAAGAGAAGGATCTGCAACAGTCATGATTGGGAAGGTGAGATTTCGAACAAATACCAGGGACTTCTAGCACACAGTGAGTATCAGCAGGGCCAAACTGGCTCGAGAAAGGTGAAAGCTGTACTGTATCGCTGTGGTGAGACCAGTCGGACTTCAGTTTCTCACCTCATGGCAAAGGACCTCAGTTTTACCCGTGGAGTCTTGCAGCAGTGAGCCATCAGTCATACAGCAGGGCCTCAGGGTGCTGTCACCTTGTCCCACACAGCACCAACATCAGGCCCCAGCAGCAGGTGCTGCTTTATCAGGCTTTTCTACCTCCATCTTTGGGGTCCTGTGATGTGCATAAGCAAAATCCAGGGACTTAACAGGGACTTTTTCTCGTTGCAGTGCCCTGGGTAGAAGCAGACCAGATTCAGAGATCAGGTTCATCTTTGCCACATGCCACCTTGGACTGGAGCCAGAGAGAGTTTGATCTGACATAGGACAGCAGTACCAAGCCTCAGGTACCACTGGAGCAAAACAAACATCAGCTTTCTTGAACAGCAGGAATGGTTGGAGGAGACTTTGGGCTGAGGAGGGAGCAACTGAGTTGGGCTTTCAGAAAACTGAGAAAATTGCCTCCTGTTCTACAGTGCTGGTTGGTTCTGGCCCTTGGAGCATGCACTGAGGCTGTCTCAAAGCTCAGGACTGGCATGTGCAGTGGGTCTTTCCAGCAGAACATTTGGGGTATGTGAGCTGGGAAGTGGTGAGACCCTTCCCTGTCAGTTCTGCCTGGCTCTTTCCATGTGGCACAATGCAGCTCCAGCCCTTTGCACGCACTTGTGTCTCAGGCTGATTTGTGGATTTTATCACATGTACTTTGAGGCCAAGTGCAGTTCTCTGAGAGTTGTTTCATGGGCATCACCTATTGGTGACATAAAAGAAAAGGAAACTGCATTCTGGAAACAGTCAGGGTGCTTGAATTGTGTCTGGGACTGTAAGGAAGTCTAGAGAGTGAAAGATGCTCTAGTGGCTTCCCAGGATGGATGGATGGATGGATGGGTGGATGGATGGATGGGTGGATGGATGGAGTCTGCCTGTGCTCCACCTCCTGCAGGCTGTGAGTTCCACATCCCACAGCTGGGGATCACAAACTGCACTAGCTAGTGTCTGACTTGCCCTTACATCTTCCTCCACAGGGCAATAATTGGGTCTGGAGAAGGCAGGAGTAGGGCAGGACCTGCCCTGGTGTCCCACAGGGGCTGGAGAACTGCTGTACCCAATGCTTGGTCTGCAGGGGTTTGGAGCAGCATGTGCTACAGGATAGGGCATGTTCATTGCTACCTTGCCCCCTAAAAACAGGCAGACTGTTGTTATTTTAATCAGTTTAGTCCTCATTGTGGAGACAAACCAAAACACAGGATTTGGTGTTCAGGGAATATAGACTTGCATTACCCCTTGAGCTGTCCAGCAGGGGCTCTGCGTTCTGCTGCAAGGAGAACATCTCCCACTCCGAAATACTCACGGATAATTTTCTAAGTACTGGTTGCAGTGAAAAAAGACCCCTCTTCCCTAAACCAGAGAGTCCCAGCAAACAGTGCCAATATTCCAGTGGTGGCAATGCAGCCTGTGAGGTGTCCAAAGCCAGGCAGGCTCCTGCTCAGAGCACTCTGAAACAGACATCCATGGATGGTGGTTGCTGGCCTCCACATGCCCTCTGCAGAGACATCCCAGCTGTGTGCCCTGATGAGCAGGTCAGTGTGGGGAATGCTGCACAAGAAGCTGCGCCAGTAGACCTGGATGAGAGTCCGGACATCGGGACTCATCAGCCACAAACCTTGGAAGAAGTGAATGGGACGAGTCGGGAAGAACTGGAGAAAAAACATCGGGTGAACCGAAAAAAGAGCATCAGGATAATTTCTGAGGACTGTACATTTGGAAACAGGAGGATGCTTAAGACAAAGAATGTGTAGTCAGGGGGATGTGAGGGCAATCTGGCTGCGACATCTGTCACCCCATTGATCGATAGGGTTGATTCGGGTGATCTGGCTGGCTAGGCGGGTGTCCCCTTCCTCCTTCACTGCTCCACGTGCGGCCCTCCCGAAGCTGTGCGCTCGGTTGAAGAGGACGACCTTCCCCGAAACAGGTGGTACCGTTCATCAGTCACGGGTATGCAGTAGCTGCACTCCCCTGCTAGAACCTCCAAAGAAACTCAAGATCCAGCTTGCACTCTACCTCTGGGTCCGTGCCTTCATCCTCACAGGTCAGGAAATTTGCTTTTATCCTGTGTCTTTCTTACTCTTGATGAAAAATCATTCCTCAGCTTGCCATAACTTTACACCCACTGGTGTCAGTCCACAGGCAGTAGGGAGAAGGAGGTTAAAGGGATCAGAGCCAGCCAATTACAGGGACACATCTCTTTCTTTTCTCCCTGTCCTTTAATTAAGCCCCTTGTAACTCTGCTTGGGATTTGGGAGTGACCTCAGTGCTTTCCTAGCAGGACCCTTCCTCATGGGCCATTGCTCCAGCACAATGCACCTTGGCCTTTTCATCCCAAGAGAGTAGTTTGGAAAGGTCAACAATTCAAACTGCGTGTCCTACTTTTAGCGCACATGATAGCGAGTCAAAAGGAGGTCATGAGGGGATGCTAATGAACCACCCAGTTATGTCCTGTAAAGGGAAAGCACCTTCTAGTGAGAGGGGAAGTCGCACAGTGAGGGAGAAAGTGAAAGCCCTAAGTAGAGGTCTTCAACCTATGACTGCTTCCAAAAGAAGATAGCGTCAGCTAGATTTGTCTCAAATGTCACCTTCCACTGCGGGAGAGCATCAGCCTACCTGGTTCCTGACGGGCTTCACAGCAGCAAGGTTGTACTTTTGGTTTTCTTCTTATGGAATGGAAAGTTTCAGAAAAATACACCTCGTGACAAGCATGTGCAAGCCATGGGAATGCTACAGCAGGCCAGCTCCTGTCCAAGCAGACACCAGTTTCCGGGCTGCATCACCTCTGCCAGCTGTAAGATGGTCCCTGCAACGAAACGGGCATTTCTGCAGCTGATACCCATGCCCAGTGCTGGCTTATGGACGTGCACACATCAGTTTGCTCACAGCACCAGGCAAACTCCCCTTTTGGGCTGTCTGTGAGACAGCCAGTGGACTTTAACTCATTTTCTTGGCTTGGAGAGACAAACTGCTGTGGAAGTTGGTTATGCTGTTTTCAGGAACCTGGAATTAGCAGTAAACATCAGCACTTAGTCCTGACCTGCAAAGCCCAGTAACAGAGTCAAAGCCAAGTCCTTTCTTTAGCTGTTCCTCCTGCCCCCATGCACTTTGGGGTGCTGGAGGCAACAGAAAGCCCAATGCCAACTATAGAGAGGGGTGGGAAGTGCTGACAAGCTAAAGACAGCCCCATGCTGAGTTAGATCCTGCTCATACCAGATGTTTTCTAATGGGTGTGTTGTGTTTAGGGCTGTTTCTCAAGTTTGAGCGGCAGGGGTGTAGACTGGACTGCGGTGGAGGGAGCCCTGGCCCTGCAGCCCAGCACCTTCCTGCAGCAGGAGAGGTTACTTTAACACAATTACTCTGAAATGTGCTTGTGTGCTGCGTGCTGAGAGCCCTTCCACATGTCTCTTTCTGCTCACCCTCTCTCTCTGCAGTTATGAAACCCCAGCAGCTGTGGATGCCCTGACTACACATGGCTCAGCAAGATGGTTTTTGTGCAAGAAAAGGGGCTGAAGCTGTGAAGTTGGTGTCTAGGGGCAGGATTTCCCCACATTCAGTCCCAGCACAGCCTTTGGCTGGGTCTGCTCCAGACTGGTGAGAAGTGTCCACACCCTTGACTGACATATGTACATCTGGAGTTTTGGTTATTGCAGAATCCTGGCTGTCCTTGGGCTCTGGAGACAGAGGCAGACAGCTGAGACTTTCACTCTTTCTGGGTCAAGGAAATGTATTTTTTAAAGCTTCTTGCAGAGAAAATAAGCAGAAATTACAATCAGCCTGTACCAATCCCTTCTGTCCCTTACTAATGTGCTCCCTTTGTGATTCCTGCCAGTTTGCTACATAGATGAGCTGTTACACGCTGAGCAGACACGTGTATTTGCTTTGTGACCCAGTGGCTCTCCTGAAGATGCTAAAGGTGAGAATATGGGGGCCTGTTGTGTGCAGCATCTCCAGCCGGGGGCGGGGATGGGGGAGCCCGGAGAGGTACGCAGCACCTGAGCACTTGGTAGTGCTTGGCTCTAGCTCCCCATCACTTCCCAGGCGCTGCTAGTAACAGCTGAACCCCACCACCACCACTCCCCGGCCCCAGCCCGCTGTGAATGGCACCGAAACCGCCTTTGTTCCCCTCCCCGGGGGGCAGGACCGCACCGCCCGCGGCTATAAAAGGAGGCGGCGGCTCCAGCCCCGGCCCCAGCCCCAGCCCTGGTCCCGGCTATGGGCCGCCCTGCCGCCGCCGCCGCGCTGCTCTGCCAGCTGGGGCTCTCCGCGGCCATCCAGTGGCTGTGAGTAGTAGCCCCAAAGGGGATACCCCCCCTCCCCTTACCCTCCCCTTTGGGGCTCTCCTTCTCCTGCTGGGTGTCCCGTGGTCCCCCCCACCCCACTGACACCCATCCTCTCCCCACAGCGGACTGATGGAGAGCGGCAGCGGGGTGGCCTGGAATGAAAGCCACCACTGCCGGCTGCTCGCCGGGCTGGTGCCCGACCAGCTCCAGATGTGCCGCAGGAACCTCGAGGTCATGCCCAGCATCGTCCAGGCCGCGCGCCACACCAAGAGCAGCTGCCAGAAGACCTTTGCAGACATGAGGTGGAACTGCTCCTCCATCCAGCAAGCACCCAGCTTTGGGCCTGACCTGCTGAGAGGTAAAGGACCCTTCATCTGCTGTGTTGGTACTCCAATTTCTGCCCCATGTAGCTGTCCAGGCAGGCAGCACTGCTGTTCAGCTGATAGATGTCAGTTTTGCCTTAGATACATGTTTTGGAGAAAACTTACTGCCATACACTGGTGCTAATCTTGTGCAACTTAAATCATCTGACAGGCAGTAACTTCCATTTCAAACTGAAAGCTGCTGAAGGCTTAAAAAAGGGGGGGGGGGGGCGGGAGAGAGCAGGGGATATAATACACTAAAACATGTAATATAATGGGTATCACAGATTAAAAACACTGGGACTTGGGTATATCCTGTTGCAAGAAAAAAACCAGCCTCATTTGCCTTGCGAGGAGTGTTGGCTGGGCAGGGAGGAAGGACATCTCCCCCTCTTCTTCCCAGGAACCCGCGAATCTGCCTTTGTCTACGCGCTGGCCGCCGCCACCATCACACACTCCATCGCCCAGGCCTGTGCCTCGGGAGAGCTCCCTCTCTGCTCCTGTGGCTCCGTCCCCTCAGAGGTCCCTGGGCCAGACTTCAGATGGGGTGGCTGTGGGGACAACCTGAGCTATGGCCTCCAGCTCGGCGCCGCTTTTGCTGACAGTCCCTTAAAATCCAGCAAGCTGGGGACACAAGCGCTCAAGGCCATGAATCTGCATAACAGTGCAGTGGGTCGGCAGGTGGGTACCGTGTCCACCCCACTGCTGCAGCTCAGGCACCCTACAAAGCCTGGGGGCAGAGGTGCCTAATGTAAGGCAGTAGACTCCAGCCAGGCTGTTGGGATGCTGTCCTTAAAGTCAGGAGGCAACTAACTGGTTAAAACAGAGTTACGTGTGTTTGCAGAGACACCCCCCACTGCTACCCACCCCCCCAAACATCCCTGCACCCTCTCCACAACGAGCACAAGATATTTGCCCATTTGCTCATGGGAAGCAGAGGCCCATCCTGCTCCACTACAGCTGGGCTCCCCAGCCCCACAGGGAACTGCAGGGTGTTGCACTTTCATGCACGCCCGTTCCATGGCTGTCCTGCACCCATGTTGGCCAGGGCAGCCACCACTGCCTCTGCAAGCTCCAGCTGGGAGCTCCCCAAAGGTTAGGTTTTAATCATACATGGAATGAAGCAGGGCTTAGTCCTTGATTGCCCCATTATATTCATTTAAAGGTGGCAGCAAGCAGCTGAGCTTTTGAAACTTCCCATGGATGCTCTTGCAAATCAATCTGTAGGGTGCACAAACAAATTAGTCTGTTTTCCTGTCCTCTGCAGGTGCTGAGTGACTCTCTGGATACCAAGTGTAAATGCCATGGTGTTTCAGGCTCCTGCTCAGTGAAGACCTGTTGGAAGGGACTGGCAAAGCTGGATGAAATAGCCTCTGACCTCAAGTCCAAGTACCTGGCAGCCATCAAGGTGACCCATCGGCTCATAGGGCCCAGGAAGCAGCTGATACCCAAGGAAATGGAGGTCAGGCCAATGGAAGAGACAAATCTGGTTTATCTCATCAACTCTCCTGACTATTGCACACCGAATCTCCACCTGGGGTCCCTGGGGACACAGGATAGGTAAGAAACTGCTGCAAATATACTCTAATTCAGCCTTTAATTTCATTACTGTCTGTACCACCATCATGCTCTGGGAAGCTGGTGTGGATGGGCAGTCCCCTATTAGATGGGGAAGGCACAGGGACCGCTGTGAATGCTTTGCATCTCAAAGCCCCAGGGAGGGTAGGAAGGCAGATGTCATTCTTACAGAGCTACGCAGATGTAAAGGCAAAGGGAGAGCCTTCACTGCAAGGCTGTCAGCCCACTCTCCAGGACAGGATACATCCACTGCAAGGTCAGAAAGGGAAATGTCTCCTCTCCCTGCGCACCTTTGGGTGCTGTCTGCCAGTAACCAGAACGGTTCAGCAGCCCTTGGAGTCTGTGGTGCTTCCCAAATGTCTTCCTTCTGGAGTGACTGCCAGGCAGCAGGGAGTTTTTAGAGGGATGGGGAAACCTGGAGGTTGAGCCAGGGCTGCCTCAGGCCTGTGGCTTACAATCCTGTCAGGCTTAGCAGTAACAGCAGTTCCTGGTCCTGGCCATCCACCCTTCCTTCTCCATGGGGAGTTCCTGCCCCCAGCATGATACACAAGTGTGCCCAATCTCAGCCACAGCTGCTCAAACACAGCCACAGCAGCACGAGCTGATATCAACCCCAGTTTGCAAGCAGACCTGTGCATCTCACTGCCTCCTGGTATGGGCAAGTGAGCTCTGGGAGGAGGCCTGGGCAGATAGCTGTGGTCAGCACCCCTCCATGGGCATGCTCCCTCAGCTCCCACCTGTGCATCCTCCTTTGGCAGGCAGTGCAACAAGACCTCCGTGGGCAGCGACAGTTGTGACCTTATGTGCTGTGGCCGCGGCTACAACACCTACATGGAGGAGGTGGTGGAGAGATGTCACTGTAAATATCACTGGTGCTGCTACGTGGTGTGCAAGAAGTGTCGGCGGAAGGTGGAGAGATACGTCTGTAAATAACACCAGAGGCGTCGTGGCAGGTAGGACTCTTGCCCTGGCATCCTCTGGAGATGATACAGATGGAGACCAACCACCAATCACGAGGGATACTCTGAGCTGTGGCAAGAAGGGGGAATGCAGGAAGCCTGTGCGCCAGCATTACCATGGAAGACCTCAGACTGAGAGATGCCAGGAAGCCTAAGGCCGGAGGCCAACCTCTGCTCCACCTCTCCAGAGCAAGACAAAGGGCTGCCCTCCTGCAGCTGATCAGGAGCGTCCAACCCTCCATCTCCAGCTGGGGACAAACCATTTATCACTCCACATGCACAGGCCCTTTTCTCCAGGGGTGAATGGGGAGTCTGGGCTGCCATTGTCTCTTTGCAGGAGGCTTCTGACAGTGGCCTGAAAGCCAGGAGTGATGGATGGGAAAGGGGGTAGCAAGTTGTCCACTGGGAGAAGGCTTCAGGGGAACAAAGCTGCTTTGGGTGAGGGGGTCATGGGCAACTCTTCTGGGGGAAGGTTTCCACTGTGGGCTCACCCAATACTACTGGCTGTTCCTCCTCAGGGGCAAACACTGGTCCAGTTCCCTTTGCAGCATCTGAAATGAAGACCAGGCTTGACACACGCAGGACCAGTTATTGCTTCAGGAAACAGAGCTCACTGATCCTCCCCTTAACCTGCATTGAGATTACTGCTGCTCTCAGTGCTAACTGAAGATAGCAAACACATCTAGGGACAGGAGTGGTCCTGGGGACTGCTGAAGCAGGGCAGCATGGCCAAACTGTGCCCAGCAGCCTTGTAGTAACAGGCCTTGTGCCCTCTGAGCTTCTGTTGGAGGTGGAAGCCTACTCAGTGCATGGCATGCTCACGGCTTGTTTGTCCTGCCCTTTTGTTTTAGCCCACTAAGGTCTTCAGCCCACTCCTTCCACCCCCTTAATACCAGGCGTGCTGGCACTCTGGCCCGGAGAGAGGATGCAGCTGGTGAAATAAGAATGAACCTTTAGTCTCTATACTTAATGTAAGTGGGATTCTGGTGTGTGTTTTATAAATAAATGTATTATATCTTATTTCTCTATGGCATGTTTCCTAGGATGACCTCCTTTCTCCATCTCCTTCTCAGCTGACCACAGAGAAAGCAAGGCTGTAAGGAGAGCATAAAGCCCTGTGTCCATGCCCTTACATTGCAGCAGGGGACCGATTCAGTTTTAACCCTTTCTGCTGCTCCTTGGCCCAGGTTTTCCTTTAATTACAGGTATCCCTCAGCCTCAGCTACTGTACCTATATGGAAAACCTGTTGGAAGGTTTGTCTCCCACTTCCTCAGGTTTCTGACTAGGCAGCAAGGAATACAGCTTCTTGGGTTTCAGCACTGGTGGCTGGAAACTGAGGCAGTCCAGGATTGTTTTAAGGTCCTTGTGAATGTGGGACGGGCTAGCCAAGCATACATGTGGGAACAGCAAGAACTTGGGAACCAGGGATGGCAGCTCTGACAGCCCCCATTTCCCCTAGCGTGGAATGTGGCCAAGCACTTGCATGGGATAAGAGATTCCTGTTCAGGCAGTCTTTGGAGAGAAAGGATGAGTCTAAACACACAGGCACTGAGGAGAGCCCACAGCACAAGGACAGGTAAATGAAACAGAAATCCAAGAGCAACTTCCTGCAGCTCACACCATGACCTTAAGAGTCTGGCAGCTTTGGTTTGCTTGCATGTGCCTTGGCTTGTTTGTGGTTTGCACTGAATGGGGTTGGCCACATTCAGCCCCAAGTCCAGCTGTAGGATTACTCATTTCCATATTCATTCAATCATTTTTAATAGCCTCTGCTGGGTCACGGAATCAATTCATGAGCTTTTATTGCAAACCTCCATTTCATTGTCCCCTCCACTTAATGTGCTCCAGGTTTCTGGATCAACAGTGAATAAAAGTCAAGAGTCAAAGGTGGCTTGAGACAAGCCTGGGAGGTGGAAGCTGAAATGCTCAGAGGTGAAGCCTATGAACCAAGTGAGTTAACCATCATTATCAGTTGTTAATGTGCCGTTGACTTGAGCTGGCTGCTGACATCTAGCCTTTCCAAAGTGACAGTAAAGCCACAGCTGCAAGGCTTCCATCACAGCTGCCCAAGGCCAAAAAGCTATCTTGAGTTTTTTCTTTTAAAATGGAATTAGGGGTTCGTCACCAGCATTCCTCGGAAAAGAGTCTTCAGCTGCCAGGCTGCAAAACAGCTGCAGTTCCTGTGTCCAGGAGAGGTGGTGCAGGTACTTAACGAGGAGGATTGCTTAAACACCTTCCCTATAGCCACCTCGTTATGCATCCCAGATCAGAGGGAAGTGAAACCGGGAGGGGCTGTGAACTCCACAGAGCATTGCAAAACTAGCTGGTGAGAAAAAAAAAAACAGGGGAAGGATCTTGTGGAGTGAGAGATTCAGCCAGGAGGGTGGGAAATGTGATTTGCATTTGGTAACTACAAACACACATAGCCTGGGGTAGAGAAGAGGAGGCACAATAGCTAGGAATGCCCTGGGGAGATGTCATGATCCCCTCCTAGAGAGGTCTCATTTGAGTTTCTGCCTGGGAAAAAGCAGGGTCAAGTGCTGAATATGCAGAGTCCTCTCCTCCTCTTGATTCTTGCATCTCCACTGCAAGCCCAACAGGGAAGAGCTGGGAAATGACTGGAGAGGTCAATCAGCAGCAAGGACCTTTGGTTCTATTTGTGTCCTGTTGGAAATCGGAAGGCACTGTGATTAGTTGGAGGATGCAAAGGGTCGGGCTGGCAGGAAGGACGATGGTGGTGGGGTGACAGTTAAGTGACAATGCTCTGAGTGGGAGGTGTTGTAATCTGGGCCCACACCTGGATTTAGCAGGACTGTGAGATATGCTGGGCTGGAAGAGCCTCCCAGGGACCCAGAGGCAGGGCAAGGAGTTGGCATTACACAATGCATCTAGAGGGAAGAAACCCCACGTTTGGCCCCAGGAGTTTAGGGGATCCATTTGACTGGATGCATTTTCTCCCTCTAGCCCTCTCTGGACAGAAAAGCCAGCAGGAATGTGCCAGGGGAGCATGGAGTCCTTCCTTCAGCCTGGGCTAGCACAGGCACCCTCTGAGGTAGAAAGATGGGAAAATCTGGTCCCTTTTATCACAAATCCAGCACCAGTCAGTGCAACACTGTGCCAGAGAAACTGGTGCAAGAAGGCTTTTCTCTAACCTTCTGCACCTTTGCTTTCACCCCAAAACATCTCCAGTTCTGGCAGATAGCCCTTCAGGACACAGAAGCACCTAGGCAAGGACAGTACAATATCCCTGAAACCCAGAACATCTCTGTAACAGCTGTGGCTTTGCAGCCCTTCAGACACTTTGTCGCACACTGCTTTTGCCCTGCTTTCACAATCAGTCCTCTCTATGCTGTGGAAGGCTGCTGTCATTACCCCTGCTTCATCAGCCCTCACAGGCCCTGCTGCTAATGTGATGGATCTACCTCTTTGACTTTCCTGTCATTAGCCATTCTTCCCAACGTCTCGTGGCTTTTTGTTTCCCTGTCTCTCTGGAAATGAGACTCCCCAGAGTCTCCATGGCCATCGCAGAAGTCTCTCACTTTCTGGCTCTGTGAGCTGACATGGGAGAGATGGCCTGAAATGGTTTGTGCATAGAAGAAAACCATCCCTCTACATGAAATGTGGTGAGAACCAGGCAATGGGTTTGCTCTGAAAAGCCTACTCTCTGCTACTGATTTTAATTTGGGTTTCAAAGGAGTAATGCTGGTATGAATGTGATCATTCCCTGCTGTGCAGACTTGTGCAGACAATGAACTCTGGAGAAAGGTGAGTGATTTTCATGGACTCTTTTGACTCTGCTGCTAAAGAGCAGAGTTTGCTGATGGTTTGTTTGGTTTTTTTTTTCCCTTTTATTTCTTTAATCCTCAAGGGATGCTGCTTAACTTATTCCAGGAGGATAATCTGAGCAAGGGCAGCAAACTACTGGTAATCAAGTAAGCATTTTGGAGGAATGACTCTGTGTTCAAGGACTGTTCTGTGTGACATTTCTTCCCCACAGCCTCGGATCGCAGCTGGAACCAGACCATGGATCAGGACCTCCACCTGCTTTTTGCCTGTGCTCTTCACAAAGGAAGCTGAGCCAGAACGAGGAGGTGTGAGATGGGGCCATAGCCTGAGGGCTCAGCTCTTGATCAACATCTGTACTACTGTAAATATATGGGGGATGTTGCTTCGATCTTTGATGTGCTTGGTGCCTACACTTACACAAGACACAAACATGAGAACAGCTTATATATAAGGAAAACCCCTTGCATCTCTGTTCTCCTTTATTTCTGGGGTGTTCAGCTACATCATGATGCCCCAAGGATGACAGCTAATACTAGGGATTGTCCTTATAGGGATCTTCAGCTGAGGGACAGGGACAAATCGGCATAGGTGAGTAAGGGTCATAAGACCAGAGGAGGAAATACGCTGCTGACTGAGGACCTTTGGGCATAGCTTGAAGGAGAGTTGCAGCAACGGCTGAGTGAGGCTCAGAGGGGAAGCAGATCTACACCCCTTCCCCTAGGCTGGCCAGGCTGGCATACCTTCTGTCTCTGAGCCCTGTATTTCAGCAAGTTGCCCAATCAGAGTGGAGGAATCCCATGACACCAAGGTGCCCTGGACACCTTGTTGAATCACTCAATAGTAGCATCTTCCCTTTGTGCATTCCTGGAGATGCTGGCTGCGAGGTCCACCAGAAGGTGAGTTAAGGCACGGAAGGAGCTGCAGAACAGTCTCCTCCCCAGAGCAGAAGCTGACATGGGACCATGAGGCACCCTGGGTTTGCCATCCAAGTGGGCTTTCACAGAACCATCCTCCCACTAGCCTGGAACTGGGGCCCTACAGATTTTAAGGACTTTCTCATCTTGCATATATGCCGGCTGTGACCACTATCCATGTGCTGTGTGGTGGAATAAGGAATTTCCAAGCATCCTTCAGTCTGGCTGGAGTAGCGCTGGAGTCGCACTTGTGTGCTGTAGGACAACATGCAGAAGCTCTAACACCTTCAGGAAGATTGATGTACATCCAACATGCTGGAGCTCTTGCTAAGCACCAGGCAGGCCTTCTGGATGTACACAGCCAGATGTTCTACACATGCGCATCAAATGCAATATACCGTGGTGGTAGGTTTCACTATCTGGATAATGAAAAGCACATAGGCACGTTTCATGTCTGGAGATGGAAATGTAAGAACTGTCCAGAAGCTGAGGCTGATCCCTAGACATTGACTTCATGCCCAAAACCTCCCTCACCAAGACATCTGGCAGACCTGGGAATGGGAGAGACTGGTCCCAGCTTGCCAGTGCTTTGGGAACTCCCCCTGTTCACATGCAGTGGGATTAATCACAGCCACTATTCCTGTAGTATCCAGCTTGAGGCCCATTGCGGTGTCAATAGGGACTTGCTGGGTAATTATGCCTTCCAAAGAAGCATTTATTTTTCCCTCGTGTTGAGAACATTAACTCTGTAATTAGAAAGGGCAGCTCAAAAACCCATGTTCTGCCAGGTGGACCTCAAGCAGGAAGAGAACAACACATGTGGGTATGTGCAGAGAGCAGGCTGCAAGGAAATCTGGTCCCTTACCCTTACTCATTCCATGCTCCCAAGGTATAAATGAAACCTATTCTTGAACAGTCAGGACAGCAGACAAAAAAGGGGCTGATTAGCTCCTAGCAAGGAGCTGTTATCATGAGGCTGGTCTCTGCCCTTGCAGTGAGAACGAGGATCTGGAGGAGATGGCCTCGGCCGACCTGAAGTACCTGCTGCTGCCCGCCTTGCTGGGGGCCATGACGCTGAAGCAGGTGGACCTGAGCAAGAGGCTGGAGCACCTGGAGAGCGCCCGGGCCCACTTCTGGAGCTTCCTCAAGCTCTGCAAGAGCTACGGGCTGGGCAGCTTCCACCTGCCCCCCGCCACCAGCCCCCCGGCAGAGGAGGCTGACAGGAGCCCGCCCCGCAGGAGCCCTGCTGCCGTCCAGGACAAGCTGGTGGCCATGGCGTCGAGCAGGCAAGCCAAAATTGAAAGGTAGGTTCTTGGTTT